CCACCACCGCCAGTGGGGTCACCGTGCAGGGAGACGCTCGTCGGCGGCCAGGGGTCGCTGTCGTCGTCCAACTTCTCCGCGGCCGGCGAGAGGAGCGCCCTGTGCCGGTGGACCGTCCAGGTGGACCCCAGATACGAGGTCAAGCTGAGGTTCCAGCAATTCAAGTGAGCTCTCGATTGGGGAGGGGCGCGGTGGACCCCACAGATACCAGGTCAAGCTGAGGTTCCAGCAATTCAAGTGAGCTCTCGATTGGGGAGGGGCCGTGTGGACCCCACAGATACCAGGTCAAGCTGAGGTTCCAGCAATTCAAGTGAGCTCTCGATTGGGGAGGGGCGCGGTGGACCCCACAGATACCAGGTCAAGCTGAGGTTCCAGCAATTCAAGTGAGCTCTCGATTGGGGAGGGGCGGGGTGGACCCCACAGATACCAGGTCAAGCTGAGGTTCCAGCAATTCAAGTGAGCTCTCGATTGGGGAGGGGCGCGGTGGACCCCACAGATACCAGGTCAAGCTGAGGTTCCAGCAATTCAAGTGAGCTCTCGATTTGGGAGGGGCGAGGTGGACCCCATAGATACCAGGTCAAGCTGAGGTTCCAGCAATTCAAGTGAGCTCTCGATTGGGTAGGGGCGTGGTGGACCCCACAGATACGAGGTCAAGCTGAGGTTCCAGCAATTCAAGTGAGCTCTCGATTGGGGAGGGGCCGTGTGGACCCCACAGATACCAGGTCAAGCTGAGGTTCCAGCAATTCAAGTGAGCTCTCGATTGGGGAGGGGCCGGGTGGACCCCACAGATACCAGGTCAAGCTGAGGTTCCAGCAATTCAAGTGAGCTCTCGATTGGGGAGGGGCGCGGTGGACCCCATAGATACCAGGTCAAGCTGAGGTTCCAGCAATTCAAGTGAGCTCTCGATTGGGTAGGGGCACGGTGGACCCCACAGATACCAGGTCAAGCTGAGGTTCCAGCAATTCAAGTGAGCTCTCGATTTGGGAGGGTCGCGGTGGACCCCATAGATACCAGGTCAAGCTGAGGTTCCAGCAATTCAAGTGAGCTCTCGATTGGGGAGGGGCCGGGTGGACCCCACAGATACCAGGTCAAGCTGAGGTTCCAGCAATTCAAGTGAGCTCTCGATTGGGGAGGGGCGCGGTGGACCCCATAGATACCAGGTCAAGCTGAGGTTCCAGCAATTCAAGTGAGCTCTCGATTGGGTAGGGGCACGGTGGACCCCACAGATACCAGGTCAAGCTGAGGTTCCAGCAATTCAAGTGAGCTCTCGATTGGGGAGGGGCGCGGTGGACCCCACAGATACCAGGTCAAGCTGAGGTTCCAGCAATTCAAGTGAGCTCTTGATTGGGGAGGGGCCGTGTGGACCCCACAGATACCAGGTCAAGCTGAGGTTCCAGCAATTCAAGTGAGCTCTCGATTGGGGAGGGGCGCGGTGGACCCCACAGATACCAGGTCAAGCTGAGGTTCCAGCAATTCAAGTGAGCTCTCGATTGGGGAGGGGCGCGGTGGACCCCACAGATACCAGGTCAAGCTGAGGTTTCAGCAATTCAAGTGAGCTCTCGATTGGGGAGGGGCGCGGTGGACCCCACAGATACCAGGTCAAGCTGAGGTTCCAGCAATTCAAGTGAGCTCTCGATTTGGGAGGGGCGCAGTGGACCCCATAGATACCAGGTCAAGCTGAGGTTCCAGCAATTCAAGTGAGCTCTCGATTGGGTAGGGGCGCGGTGGACCCCACAGAAATCAGGTCAAGCTGAGGTTCCAGCAATTCAAGTGAGCTCTCGATTGGGGAGGGGCCGTGTGGACCCCACAGATACCAGGTCAAGCTGAGGTTCCAGCAATTCAAGTGAGCTCTCGATTGGGTAGGGGCACGGTGGACCCCACAGATACCAGGTCAAGCTGAGGTTCCAGCAATTCAAGTGAGCTCTCGATTTGGGAGGGTCGCGGTGGACCCCATAGATACCAGGTCAAGCTGAGGTTCCAGCAATTCAAGTGAGCTCTCGATTGGGGAGGGGCCGTGTGGACCCCACAGATACCAGGTCAAGCTGAGGTTCCAGCAATTCAAGTGAGCTCTCGATTGGGTAGGGGCACGGTGGACCCCACAGATACCAGGTCAAGCTGAGGTTCCAGCAATTCAAGTGAGCTCTCGATTTGGGAGGGTCGCGGTGGACCCCATAGATACCAGGTCAAGCTGAGGTTCCAGCAATTCAAGTGAGCTCTCTATTGGGGAAGGGCGGTGTGGACCCCACAGATACCAGGTCAAGGCTGAGGTTCCAGCAATTCAAGTGAGCTCTCGATTGGGGAGGGGCCGTGTGGACCCCACAGATACCAGGTCAAGCTGAGGTTCCAGCAATTCAAGTGAGCTCTCGATTGGGGAGGGGCGGTGTGGACCCCACAGATACCAGGTCAAGCTGAGGTTCCAGCAATTCAAGTGAGCTCTCGATTGGGGAGGGGCGAGGTGGACCCCACAGATACCAGGTCAAGCTGAGGTTCCAGCAATTCAAGTGAGCTCTCGATTTGGGAGGGTCGCGGTGGACCCCATAGATACCAGGTCAAGCTGAGGTTCCAGCAATTCAAGTGAGCTCTCGATTGGGGAGGGGCCGTGTGGACCCCACAGATACCAGGTCAAGCTGAGGTTCCAGCAATTCAAGTGAGCTCTCGATTGGGGAGGGGCGCGGTGGACCCCACAGATACCAGGTCAAGCTGAGGTTCCAGCAATTCAAGTGAGCTCTCGATTGGGGAGGGGCCGTGTGGACCCCACAGATACCAGGTCAAGCTGAGGTTCCAGCAATTCAAGTGAGCTCTCGATTGGGGAGGGGCCGTGTGGACCCCACAGACACCAGGTCAAGCTGAGGTTCCAGCAATTCAAGTGAGCTCTCGATTGGGGAGGGGCCGTGTGGACCCCACAGACACCAGGTCAAGCTGAGGTTCCAGCAATTCAAGTGAGCTCTCGATTTGGTTAACGGCACACGTGGGTCGCGGTTAGAAGTTCGGCACGCGCTGCGCAGCTGTACGCGACTACGCTGCACTATAGGGCTGCACGCGGCTATACGCGACAGTACGTGTGTGTGTGTGTACGTGTGTGTGTGTGTACCTGTGTGCGTGTGTACGTGTGTGTGTGTATACCTGTGTGCGTGTGTACGTGTGTGTGTGTATACACCTCTGTGCGTGTGTACGTGTGTGTGTGCTATATACTATACTATACACGGCATTGCTATACACTACACTACACACGACTATGCACTTCTATATGTGCAACACTACACACCACACATACTCGTGCATGCTACACTACACACTACACGTACTCGTACATGCTACACCACACATACTCGTACATGCTACACTACACACTACACATACTCGTACATGCTACACTACACACTACACGTGCCCGTACATGCTACACCACACATACTCGTACATGCTACACTACACACTACACATACTCGTACATGCTACACCACACACACTCGTACATGCTACACCACACATACTCGTACATGCTACACTACACACTACCCGTGCTCGTACATGCTACACTACACACTACACATACTCGTACATGCTACACCACACACACTCGTACATGCTACACTACACACTACACGTGCTCGTACATGTTACACTACACACTACACATACTCGTACATGTTACACTACACATACTCGTACATGCTACACTACACATACTCGTACATGCTACACTACACACCACACATACTCGTGCATGCTACACTACACACTACACGTGCCCGTACATGCTACACCACACATACTCGTACATGCTACACTACACACACTACACATACTCGTACATGCTACACTACACATACTCGTACATGCTACACTACACATACTCGTACATGCTACACCACACACACTCGTACATGCTACACTACACACTACACACACTCGTACATGCTACACTACGCACCACACATGCTCGTACATGCTACACCACACATACTCGTACATGCTATACCACACATACTCGTACATGCTACACCACACATACTCGTACATGCTACACCACACACACTCGTACATGCTACACCACACACACTCGTACATGCTACACTACACACTACACACACTCGTACATGCTACACTACGCACCACACATACTCGTACATGCTACACCACACACACTCGTACATGCTACACTACACACTACACACACTCGTACATGCTACACTACACACTACACATACTCGTACATGCTACACTACACACACTCGTACATGCTACACCACACACACTCGTACATGCTACACCACACACACTCGTACATGCTACACTACACACTACACATACTCGTACATGCTACACTACACACACTCGTACATGCTACACTACACATACTCGTACACGCTACACCATACACACTCGTACATGCTACACTACACACTACACGTGCTCGTACATGCTACACTACACACTACACATACTCGTACATGCTACACCACACACACTCGTACATGCTACACTACACACTACACGTGCTCGTACATGTTACACTACACACTACACATACTCGTACATGCTACACTACACACTACACGTGCTCGTACATGTTACACTACACACTACACATACTCGTACATGCTACACTACACACTACACACACTCGTACATGCTACACTACACACCACACACACTCGTACATGCTACACTACACACCACACACACTCGTACATGCTACACAACACACCACACACACTCGTACATGTTACACTACACACTACACATACTCGTACATGCTACACTACACACTACACGTGCTCGTACATGCTACACTACACATACTCGTACATGCTACACCACACATACTCGTACACGCTACACCACACATACTCGTACATGCTACACTACACACTACATATACTCGTACATGTTACACTACACACTACACATACTCGTACATGCTACACTACACATACTCGTACATGCTACACCACACACACTCGTACATGCTACACTACACAATACACGTGCTCGTACATGCTACACTACACACTACACGTGCTCGTACATGCTACACTACGCACTACACATACTCGTACATGCTACACTACACACTACACGTGCTCGTACATGCTACACTACACACACTCGTACATGCTACACTACACACTACACACACTCGTACATGCTACACTACGCACCACACGTGCTCTTACATGCTACGCCACACATACTCGTACATGCTACACTACACACTACACACACTCGTACATGCTACACTACGCACCACACGTGCTCTTACATGCTACACTACGCACCACACGTGCTCTTACATGCTACGCCACACATACTCGTACATGCTACACTACACACTACACACACTCGTACATGCTACACTACGCACCACACGTGCTCTTACATGCTACACTACGCACCACACGTGCTCTTACATGCTACGCCACACATACTCGTACATGCTACACTACACACTACACACACTCGTACATGCTACACTACGCACCACACGTGCTCTAACATGCTACGCCACACAACCCTCGCTCTCCCACCGCCGCAGCTTGTCTTCCGACCCCGACTGCGTGGACGAGTCGCTGACCGTCTACGACGACAACGGCGACTCGCTGGGCGTGTTCTGCGGCGGCGGCGTGAGACCGCCCGGCCTGCGCTCGTCCGCCAACAGACTCCACCTCGTGCTCGACTCTCTGTGGGGGCTTCAAGGTGAGGCCACGGGGGGAGGGGAGGGGAGGGGGTGGGGGGGTGGGTGGTGTCCGCCATGTTCCCCTTCTCCTGTGCGAGGGAGCGGGAGTTGAGGGGTGGGACGGACAGATTCAACTAAATTGACGACAATAACAACAACAACAACAACGATCACAACAACAACACTAATGACGTTAGGGAGGTTGTGTCGTCGGTCCTCAGGAGGAGTGAGGCGACCTCCACAACAGCCAAGCACCAGGGCTGTGCGAAAGTTTATTCGCGTCCTTCGGGAGGGCAGTGGCACGTCTGTGATAACGATCAGACACGCGTCACCCTCATCACGCTCCATGTCTTAGGCAGCGTCACAAATCTCACGCAAATCTTACTCAGCGTCACAAATCTCACACAAATCTTACTCAGCGTCACAAGTCTCACACAAATCTTACTCAGCGTCACAAATCTCACACAAATCTTACTCAGCGTCACAAATCTCACACAAATCTTACTCAGCGTCACAAATCTCACACAAATCTTACTCAGCGTCACAAATCTCACACAAATCTTACTCAGCGTCACAAATCTCACGCAAATCTTACTCAGCGTCACAAATCTCACGCAAATCTTACTCAGCATCACAAATCTCACGCAAATCTTACTCAGCATCACAAATCTCACGCAAATCTTACTCAGCGTCACAAATCTCACGCAAATCTTACTCAGCGTCACAAATCTCACGCAAATCTTACTCAGCGTCACAAATCTCACACAAATCTTACTCAGCGTCACAAATCTCACGCAAATCTTACTCAGCGTCACAAATCTCACACAAATCTTACTCAGCGTCACAAATCTCACGCAAATCTTACTCAGCGTCACAAATCTCACGCAAATCTTACTCAGCGTCACAAATCTCACGCAAATCTTACTCAGCGTCACAAATCTCACGCAAATCTTACTCAGCATCACAAATCTCACGCAAATCTTACTCAGCGTCACAAATCTCACACAAATCTTACTCAGCGTCAAAAATCTCACACAAATCTTACTCAGCGTCACAAATCTCACACAAATCTTACTCAGCATCACAAATCTCACACAAATCTTACTCAGCATCACAAATCTCACACAAATCTTACTCAGCATCACAAATCTCACGCAAATCTTACTCAGCGTCACAAATCTCACACAAATCTTACTCAGCGTGACAAATCTCACACAAATCTTACTCAGCGTCACAAATCTTACACAAATCTTTCTCAGCGTCACAAATCTCACACAAATCTTACTCAGCGTCACAAATCTCACACAAATCTTACTCAGCGTCACAAATCTCACACATATCTTACTCAGCGTGACAAATCTCACACAAATCTTTCTCAGCATCACAAATCTCACACAAATCTTACTCAGCGTCACAAATCTCACACAAATCTTACTCAGCGTCACAAATCTCACACAAATCTTACTCAGCGTCACAAATCTCACACAAATCTTACTCAGCGTCACAAATCTCACACAAATCTTACTCAGCGTCACAAATCTCACACAAATCTTACTCAACGTCACAAATCTCACACAAATCTTACTCAGTGTCACAAATCTCACACAAATCTTACTCAGCGTCACAAATCTACACAAATCTTACTCAGCGTCACAAATCTCACACAAATCTTTCTCAGCGTCACAAATCTCACACAAATCTTACTCAGCGTCACAAATCTCACGCAAATCTTACTCAGCGTCACAAATCTCACGCAAATCTACTCAGCGTCACAAATCTCACGCAAATCTTACTCAGCATCACAAATCTCACTGCAAATCTTACTCAGCGTCACAAATCTCACGCAAATCTTACTCAGCGTCACAAATCTCACACAAATCTTACTCAGCGTCACAAATCTCACACAAATCTTACTCAGCGTCACAAATTTCACACAAATCTTACTCAGCGTCCTAAATCTCACATAAATCTTACTCAGCGTCACAAATCTCACACAAATCTTACTCAGCGTCACAAATCTCACACAAATCTTACTCAGCGTCAAAAATCTCACACACATCTTACTCAGCATCACAAATCTCACGCAAATCTTACTCAGCATCACAAATCTCACGCAAATCTTACTCAGCGTCACAAATCTCACGCAAATCTTACTCAGCGTCACAAATCTCACGCAAATCTTACTCAGCGTCACAAATCTCACACAAATCTTACTCAGCGTCACAAATCTCACGCAAATCTTACTCAGCGTCACAAATCTCACGCAAATCTTACTCAGCGTCACAAATCTCACGCAAATCTTACTCAGCGTCACAAATCTCACGCAAATCTTACTCAGCATCACAAATCTCACGGAAATCTTACTCAGCGTCACAAATCTCACACAAATCTTACTCAGCGTCAAAAATCTCACACAAATCTTACTCAGCGTCACAAATCTCACACAAATCTTACTCAGCATCACAAATCTCACACAAATCTTACTCAGCATCACAAATCTCACACAAATCTTACTCAGCATCACAAATCTCACGCAAATCTTACTCAGCGTCACAAATCTCACACAAATCTTACTCAGCGTGACAAATCTCACACAAATCTTACTCAGCGTCACAAATCTTACACAAATCTTTCTCAGCGTCACAAATCTCACACAAATCTTACTCAGTGTCACAAATCTCACACAAATCTTACTCAGCGTCACAAATCTCACACATATCTTACTCAGCGTGACAAATCTCACACAAATCTTTCTCAGCATCACAAATCTCACACAAATCTTACTCAGCGTCACAAATCTCACACAAATCTTACTCAGCGTCACAAATCTCACACAAATCTTACTCAGCGTCACAAATCTCACACAAATCTTACTCAGCGTCACAAATCTCACACAAATCTTACTCAGCGTCATAAATCTCACGCAAATCTTACTCAGTGTCACAAATCTCACACAAATCTTACTCAGCGTCACAAATCTACACAAATCTTACTCAGCGTCACAAATCTCACACAAATCTTACTCAGCGTCACAAATTTCACATAAATCTTACTCAGCGTCACAAATCTCACGCAAATCTTACTCAGCGTCACAAATCTCACGCAAATCTTACTCAGCGTCACAAATCTCACGCAAATCTTACTCAGCGTCACAAATCTCACGCAAATCTTACTCAGCGTCACAAATCTCACGCAAATCTTACTCAGCGTCACAAATCTCACACAAATCTTACTCAGCGTAACAAATCTCACACAAATCTTACTCAGCGTCACAAATCTCACACAAATCTTACTCAGCGTCACAAATCTCACGCAAATCTTACTCAGCGTCACAAATCTCACACAAATCTTACTCAGCGTCACAAATCTCACACAAATCTTACTCAGCGTCACAAATCTTCACACAAATCTTACTCAGCAGTCACAAATCTCACGCAAATCTTACTCAGCGATCACAAATCTCACACAAATCTTACTCAGCAGTCACAAATCTACACAAATCTTACTCAGCGTCACAAATCTCACACAAATCTTACTCAGCGTCACAAATCTCACACAAATCTTACTCAACGTCATAAATCTCACACAAATCTTACTCAGCATCACAAATCTCACACAAATCTTACTCAGCATCACAAATCTCACACAAATCGTACTCAGCGTCACAAATCTCACACACATCTTACTCAGCGTCACAAATCTCACACAAATCTTACTCAACGTCACCAATCTCACACAAATCTTACTCAGCGTCACAAATCTCACACAAAATCTTACTCAGTGTCACAAATCTCACACAAATCTTACTCAGCGTCACAAATCTCACACAAATCTTACTCAGCGTCACAAATCTCACACAAATCTTTCTCAGCGTCACAAATCTCACACAAATCTTACTCAGCGTCACAAATCTCACGCAAATCTTACTCAGCGTCACAAATCTCACGCAAATCTTACTCAGCGTCACAAATCACAACGCAAATCTTACTCAGCGTCACAAATCTCACACAAATCTTACTCAGCGTCACAAATCTCACGCAAATCTTACTCAGCGTCACAAATCTCACACAAATCTTACTCAGCGTCACAAATCTCACACAAATCTTACTCAGCGTCACAAATCTCACACAAATCTTACTCAGCGTCACAAATCTCACACAAATCTTACTCAGCGTCACAAATCTCACGCAAATCTTACTCAGCGTCACAAATCTCACACAAATCTTACTCAGCGTCACAAATCTCACACAAATCTTACTCAGCGTCACAAATCTACACAAATCTTACTCAGCGTCACAAATCTCACACAAATCTTACTCAGCGTCACAAATCTCACACAAATCTTACTCAGCGTCACAAATCTCACACAAATCTTACTCAGCGTCACAAATCTCACACAAATCTTATCAGCGTCACAAATCTCACACAAATCTTACTCAGCGTCACAAATCTCACACAAATCTTACTCAGCGTCACAAATCTCACACAAATCTTACTCAGCGTCACAAATCTCACACAAATCTTACTCAGCGTCACAAATCTCACAAATCTTACTCAGCGTCACAAATCTCACACAAATCTTACTCAGCGTCACAAATCTCACACAAATCTTACTCAGCGTCACAAATCTCACGCAAATCTTACTCAGCGTCACAAATCTCACGCAAATCTTACTCAGCTTCACAAATCTCACACAAATCTTACTCAGCGTCACAAATCTCACACAAATCTTACTCAGCATCACAAATCTCACACAAATCTTACTCAGCGTCACAAATCTCACGCAAATCTTACTCAGCGTCACAAATCTCACGCAAATCTTACTCAGCGTCACAAATCTCACGCAAATCTTACTCAGCGTCACAAATTTCACACAAATCTTACTCAGCGTCACAAGTCTCACGCAAATCTTACTCAGCGTCCACAATCTCACACAAATCTTACTCAGCGTCACAAGTCTCACGCAAATCTTACTCAGCGTCACAAATCTCACACAAATCTTACTCAGCGTCACAAATCTCACGCAAATCTTACTCAGCGTCACAAATCTCACACAAATCTTACTCAGCGTCACAAATCTCACGCAAATCTTACTCAGCGTCACAAATCTCACGCAAATCTTACTCAGCATCACAAATCTCACACAAATCTTACTCAGCATCACAAATCTCACACAAATCTTACTCAGCATCACAAATCTCACGCAAATCTACTCAGCGTCACAAATCTCACACAAATCTACTCAGCGTGACAAATCTCACACAAATCTTACTCAGCGTCACAAATCTTACACAAATCTTTCTCAGCGTCACAAATCTCACACAAATCTTACTCAGCGTCACAAATCTCACCACAAATCTTACTCAGCGTCACAAATCTCACACATATCTTACTCAGCGTGACAAATCTCACACAAATCTTTCTCAGCATCACAAATCTCACACAAATCTTACTCAGCGTCACAAACTCTCACACAAATCTTACTCAGCGTCACAAATCTCACACAAATCTTATCTCAGCGTCACAATCTCACACAAATCTTACTCAGCGTCACAAATCTCACACAAATCGTACTCAGCGTCACAAATCTCACACAAATCTTACTCAACGTCACAAATCTCACACAAATCTTACTCAGTGTCACAAATCTCACACAAATCTTACTCAGCGTCACAAATCTACACAAATCTTACTCAGCGTCACAAATCTCACACAAATCTTTCTCAGCATCACAAATCTCACACAAATCTTACTCAGCGTCACAAATCTCACGCAAATCTTACTCAGCGTCACAAATCTCACGCAAATCTTACTCAGCGTCACAAATCTCACGCAAATCTTACTCAGCATCACAAATCTCACGCAAATCTTACTCAGCGTCACAAATCTCACGCAAATCTTACTCAGCGTCACAAATCTCACACAAATCTTACTCAGCGTCACAAATCTCACACAAATCTTACTCAGCGTCACAAATTTCACACAAATCTTACTCAGCGTCCTAAATCTCACACAAATCTTACTCAGCGTCACAAATCTCACACAAATCTTACTCAGCGTCACAAATCTCACACAAATCTTACTCAGCGTCAAAAATCTCACACACATCTTACTCAGCGTCACAAATCTCACACAAATCTTACTCAGCGTCACAAATCTCACACAAATCTTACTCAGCGTCACAAATCTCACGCAAATCTTACTCAGCATCACAAATCTCACGCAAATCTTACTCAGCATCACAAATCTCACGCAAATCTTACTCAGCGTCACAAATCTCACGCAAATCTTACTCAGCGTCACAAATCTCACGCAAATCTTACTCAGCGTCACAAATCTCACACAAATCTTACTCAGCGTCACAAATCTCACGCAAATCTTACTCAGCGTCACAAATCTCACGCAAATCTTACTCAGCGTCAAAATTTCACACAAATCTTACTCAGCGTCACAAATCTCACACAAATCTTACTCAGCATCACAAATCTCACACAAATCTTACTCAGCATCACAAACCTCACACAAATCTTACTCAGCATCACAAATCTCACGCAAATCTTACTCAGCGTCACAAATCTCACACAAATCTTACTCAGCGTGACAAATCTCACACAAATCTTACTCAGCGTCACAAATCTTACACAAATCTTTCTCAGCGTCACAAATCTCACACAAATCTTACTCAGCGTCACAAATCTCACACAAATCTTACTCAGCGTCACAAATCTCACACATATCTTACTCAGCGTGACAAATCTCACACAAATCTTTCTCAGCGTCACAAATCTCACACAAATCTTACTCAGCGTCACAAATCTCACACAAATCTTACTCAGCATCACAAATCTCACACAAATCTTACTCAGCGTCACAAATCTCACACAAATCTTACTCAGCGTCACAAATCTCACACAAATCTTACTCAGCGTCACAAATCTCACACAAATCTTACTCAGCGTCACAAATCTCACGCAAATCTTACTCAGCGTCACAAATCTCACGCAAATCTTACTCAGCGTCACAAATCTCACACAAATCTTACTCAGCGTCACAAATCTCACACAAATCTTACTCAGCATCACAAATCTCACACAAATCTTACTCAGCGTCACAAATCTCACGCAAATCTTACTCAGCGTCACAAATCTCACGCAAATCTTACTCAGCGTCACAAATCTCACGCAAATCTTACTCAGCGTCACAAATCTCACACACATCTTACTCAGCGTCACAAATCTCACACAAATCTTACTCAGCGTCACAAATCTCACACAAATCTTACTCAGCGTCACAAATCTCACACAAATCTTACTCAGCGTCACAAATCTCACACAAATCTTACTCAGCCCCCCCCGTCCCACGCGTCGCACTGCTATCGAAACTTCCCCGAAACTCCGCAACTCGAGTTTGTTAAAGGAAGTTAAATAACTTTGTTTGTTTGTCTTTGTTGTTGTTGTTGTTTATTGCACAGGGGACGGAGTTGTCGTGAACTTTGAAACGATGAATCCCATTAAGGTCTCGACTAGTGAGTACGGAGCAACAGAGCCGAGTGCACCTCACTGGATCACAAAGCCGCGTTGCTTCGACACGTTTTCAGCTGTGAAACTCGATTCGAGGCCTTTCGTGACTGCAGGAACTGCTCTTTGGGTACTTTCGGTAAAGTGACGTCGAGCGAAATTAAATAATGATTGAGTACGACGTTTCGATCGCAACACGGGCAACCATCATCAGGTAGAAATGAATGAGGAAACAAACGTAGCAAAAAACTTGGAAATATAATGCGATACAACACAGAGAGTCGGCCAACACAACAGTCAACACCCCACCTGGTTGATTAACGTCCTTCCAAAGATTGCTAAATTTGAGAGACAAAACATAGACACGGAGACAGACAGACAGGCAGAGAGAGAGACTCAGACAGAGACACACAGAGAGACACACAACATAGACACACAGAGAGAGACACAAGCAGAGAGAGACTCACACAGAGACACACAGAGAGAGACACACAACATAGAAACACAGAGAGAGACACAACATAGACACACAGAGAGAGACACAAGCAGAGAGAGACTCACACAGAGACGCACAGAGAGAGACACACAACATAGACACACAGAGAGACACACAACATAGACACGGAGACAGACACACAGACAAGCAGAGAGAGACTCACACGGAGACACACAGAGAGAGACACACAACATAGACACACAGAGAAACACACACGCAGAGAGAGACTCACACAGAGACACACAGAGAGAGACACACAACATAGAAACACAGAGAGAGACACACAACATAGACACACAGGGAGACACACAAGCAGAGAGAGACAACACAGAGACACACAGAGAGAGACTCACACAGACACACAGAGAGAGGAACTCACACAGAGACACACAGAGAGAGACACACAACATAGACACACAGAGAGACACACAAGCAGAGAGAGACTCACACAGAGACACACAGAGAGAGACACACAACATAGAAACACAGAGAGAGACACACAACATAGACACACAGGGAGACACACAAGCAGAGAGAGACAACACAGAGACACGTAGAGAGACTCACACAGAGACACACAGAGAGAGACTCACACAGAGACACACAGAGAGAGAAACAACATAGACACACAGGGAGACACACAAGCAGAGAGAGACAACACAGAGAGACACACACAAGCAGAGAGAGACTCACACAGAGACACACAGAGAGAGACACACAACATAGACACACAGAGAGACACACAAGCAGAGAGAGACTCACACAGAGGCACACAGAGAGAGACACACAACATAGACACACAGAGAGAGACACACAACATAGACACACAGAGAGACACACAAGCAGAGAGAGACAACACAGAGACACACAGAGAGAGACACACAACATGGACACACAGGGAGACACACAAGCAGAGAGAGACTCACACAGAGACACACAGAGAGAGACACACAACAAGGACACACAGACACACAAGCAGAGAGATACAACATAGAGACACACAGAGAGAGACTCACACAGAGACACACAGAGAGAGACAAACATAGACACACAGACAGACACACAAGCAGAGAGAGACTCACACAGAGACACACAGAGAGAGACACAGAGAGAGAGACAGAGAGACTCACACAGAGACACAGAGAGAGAGAGACTCACACATAGACACACAGAGAGAGACTCACACAGAGACACACAGAGAGACACACACATAGACACGGAGACAGACAGACACACAAGCAGAGAGAGACAACACAGAGACACAGAGAGAGACTCAACAACCCCACCCACTCACCCACTCACATACCCACCCACCCACTCACAAACCCACTCACATACTCCACCCACCCACTCCACTCACTAACATACCCACCCACCCACTCACATACCCACCCACCCACTCACATACCCACCCACCCACTCATATACCCACCCACCCACCCACTCACATACCCACCCACCCACTCACATACCCACCCACCCACTCACATACCCACCCACCCACTCACAAACCCACTCACATACTCCACCCACTCACAAACCCACTCACATACTCCACCCAACCACCCCATTCCACTCACCCACCCACCCCATCCACTCACCCACCCCCCACCCACCCACCAACCCACCCTACCCACCACGCCCACCCACCCACTCACCGCACCCCCTCCTGTCGATGCGATCTCCGCCACCCTCCCGCAAGGCTGCGGCATCGCCAACGCGTCCGTCCTGAGCGCCTGGCCCTGGCAGGTGACCATCACGAGGCTTGGGGACGACCTGCAGTGCCTCGGCTCCCTGCTGTCCAACTCCTGGGTGGTGACAGCGGCGAGCTGCCTGCTAGAGAGGTCAGCCCCGGGGCTTTCGTCACGGCAGTCCCCAGAATTGTCACCTAGAGGCCACCTCGAGTTCGGGATTTCGCGAGTTTTCCCACCGTATTGTCGAGTTACTAAATACGTTCATTAATCCCTGGCTAAGTGTCCCACTCCTGAGTTATCGAGTTACTAAATGTGTTCATTAATCCCTCGCTAAGTGTCACACTCCTGAGTTATCGAGTTACTAAATGTGTTCATTAATCCCTTGCTAAGTGTCACAGTCCTGAGTTATCGAGTTACTAAATGTGTTCATTAATCCCTCGCTAAGTGTCACACTCCTGAGTTATCGAGTTACTAAATGTGTTCATTAATCCCACGCTAAGTGTCACACTCCTGAGTTATCGAGTTACTAAATGTGTTCATTAATCCCACGCTAAGTGTCACACTCCTGAGTTATCGCGTTACTAAATACGTTCATTAATCCCTCGCTAAGTGTCACACTCCTGAGTTATCGAGTTACTAAATATGTTCATTAATCCCTCGCTAAGTGTCACACTCCTGAGTTATCGAGTTACTAAATGTGTTCATGAATCCCTCGCTAAGTGTCACACTCCTGAGTTATCGAGTTACTAAATGTGTTCATTAATGCCTGGCTAAGTGTCCCACTCCTGAGATATCGAGTTACTAAATGTGGTCATTAATCCCTCGTTAAGTGTCCCACTCCTGAGTTATCGAGTTACTAAATGTGTTCATGAATCCCTCGCTAAGTGTCACACTCCTGAGTTATCGAGTTACTAAATGTGTTCATTAATGCCTGGCTAAGTGTCCCACTCCTGAGTTATCGAGTTACTAAATGTCCTCATTAATCCCTCGCTAAGTGTCTCACTTCTGAGTTATCGAGTTACTAAATGTGTTCATTAATCCCTCGCTAAGTGTCACACTCTTGAGTTATCGAGTTACTAAATGTGTTCATTAATCCCTCGCTAAGTGTCACACTCCTGAGTTATCGAGTTACTAAATGTGTTCATTAATCCCTCGCTAAGTGTCACACTCCTGAGTTATCGAGTTACTAAATGTGCTCATTAATCCCTCGCTAAGTGTCTCACTTCTGAGTTATCGAGTTACTAAATGTGTTCATTAATCCCTCGCTAAGTGTCACACTCCTGAGTTATCGAGTTACTAAATGTGTTAATTAATCCCTCGCTAAGTGTCCCGCTCCTGAGTTATCGAGTTACTAAATGTGTTCATTAATCCCTCGCTACGTGTCCCCTTCTGAGTTATCGAGTTACTAAATATGTTCATTAATCCCTCGCTAAGTGTCACACTCCTGAGTTATCGAGTTACTAAATGTGTTCATGAATCCCTCGCTAAGTGTCACACTCCTGAGTTATCGAGTTACTAAATGTGTTCATTAATGCCTGGCTAAGTGTCCCACTCCTGAGATATCGAGTTACTAAATGTGGTCATTAATCCCTCGTTAAGTGTCCCACTCCTGAGTTATCGAGTTACTAAATGTGTTCATGAATCCCTCGCTAAGTGTCACACTCCTGAGTTATCGAGTTACTAAATGTGTTCATTAATGCCTGGCTAAGTGTCCCACTCCTGAGTTATCGAGTTACTAAATGTCCTCATTAATCCCTCGCTAAGTGTCTCACTTCTGAGTTATCGAGTTACTAAATGTGTTCATTAATCCCTCGCTAAGTGTCACACTCTTGAGTTATCGAGTTACTAAATGTGTTCATTAATCCCTCGCTAAGTGTCACACTCCTGAGTTATCGAGTTACTAAATGTGTTCATTAATCCCTCGCTAAGTGTCACACTCCTGAGTTATCGAGTTACTAAATGTGCTCATTAATCCCTCGCTAAGTGTCTCACTTCTGAGTTATCGAGTTACTAAATGTGTTCATTAATCCCTCGCTAAGTGTCACACTCCTGAGTTATCGAGTTACTAAATGTGTTAATTAATCCCTCGCTAAGTGTCCCGCTCCTGAGTTATCGAGTTACTAAATGTGTTCATTAATCCCTCGCTACGTGTCCCCTTCTGAGTTATCGAGTTACTAAATGTGTTCATTAATCCCTCGCTAAGTGTCCCACTCCTGAGTTATCGAGTTACTAAATGTGTTCATTAATGCCTGGCTAAGTGTCACACTTCTGAGTTATCGAGTTACTAAATGTGTTCATTAATGCCTGTCTAAGTGTCGCACTTCTGAGTTATCGAGTTACTAAATGTGTTCATTAATCCCTCGCTAAGTGTCACACTCCTGAGTTATCGAGTTACTAAATGTGTTCATTAATCCCTTGCCAAGTGTACCACTCCTGAGTTATCGAGTTACTAAATGTGTTCATTAATCCCTCGCTAAGTGTCTCACTCCTGAGTTATCGAGTTACTAAATGTGTTCATTAATCCCTGGCTGTGTCCGCCTTCAGAATTCTCGAGTTACTCAATGTGTTCATTAATCCCTCATTATACAATTCCTATATTTGCGAGTTTCCCATATTTGCGAGTTACTGAATATGCACAATAATTCCCTACTCGCGAGCGTACATGCCAGAACCAACTTTCGCACTCTTGTACATGTGTTTTTGCATGTGTGTAAGCGCGTGTATGTGTGTATGTACGTGTGTGTCTCCTCGCGGTGCCGGATGGGCAACTCTGTCGTGGACAATGCTGTGGGGGGAGGGCCAATTCCGATTGGCTCCTCCCCTCATGGCGTCTGTGACCACCACAGTGGCTAAACGGGGGCTCTGGACGGGTGCGAGGGGCTGGTAACCCCTCCACATTCAATTAATTACCACTAAACCACGAGGCCCCAGGGGGACAGGCGTCTATGACGTCTAATGGCCAAACCCCAATTGGCGGAGCCAGGAGATTGAATCTCTATCCTCGGGGCTCATCCAGAAACAAGGAAAAGCCACTACGGATGGCCACGTGGAATGTTCGAACACTCACTGCGGAGGAGAGGCTACCACTCCTCTGTCGGGAGCTGGACCAGTACCGTCTGGATCTCTGTGGCATTCAGGAGGTAAGGTGGGCCGGTTCTGGCCCTGCCACCATGAGGAGTGGACAGTCCTCTACTTGGGGCAGCAGACTGCCAAACAACAGGGTGTGGCTCTTCTTTTGAACAAAAGAAAGAAGGGGGCGTGGGAGCGTGGCGGTGAGGTGTGGGAAGCTGTAAGCCCCAGGCTACTTTGGGCTCGCCTTCCCATCAACCGGAGGCGAGGAGTGGTGGTCGTGGTTACTTATGTCCCCCACCGAAGACGAACATCCGTGGAGGGATGCAGGTAAAGCCGATGAGTCAGATGCCTTCTATGACCTCCTGTCACAGCTGCTGGCTAAAGTGGCACCTCGGGATAGAGTCATCATGTTGGGTGACTTCAATGCCCGAGTTGGTCATGATGCTGGCACCTGGCCTGGAGTGATTGGAGGGCATGGACCAGATCAGCTCAATAACAACGGTAGGAGGCTGCTAGATTTTTCTGCAGCCCATGTGCTTGTAATTACCAACAGGCTGTTCCGGCATCAGCGCATCCACACAACATCATGGATGCATGCCGGTTCCAAGCAAGAACATTTGCTGGACTACATAGTGACGGACCAGCGGATGCGAGCCCATGGGCTTGACACCAGGACCTACCATGGAGCTAATCTGCCCTCTGACCATCGACTAGTCATCTGTAAGATGCACCTGCCATTCTTCCACTCCGGTGGTGGGTGTACACCCAGGACCCCATTCCAACCTAAAGTGGCCTGGTCTCAGTTATCTGATGAAAGTTGCAAGCGAAAATTTCATCATCGCTTGCGGCTGGGATTGGCATCATCCCCCACTCCTCCTGATGTCGAGGGTAAATGTGCAAGGTTTAGGACTGTGACTCATGCAGCTGCAATGGCTGCTTTGGGAATGCGGTCCAGACCTCCCCTGAGACCCTGGCTGACAGAGGTGTTCAGGATGGTTGAGAAAAAGCGACAGGCCCACTGTCATCGGCTACAGAATCCCACGTCAGAGAATGAGGAGGCTTACCGCTGCCTTCACTCGGAGGTTCGGAGAGCCGTGAGGTGCTGCAAGGATGGGTGGTGGTCGCGGGTTGCTGAGGAGATGGAGTCTACCTCAGTGGTCCGCGATCACAAATCTCTATTTAACTCCATCAAAAAAGTAACCTGCAGCGCGTCATTAGGGGAAAAAACGGTGATCCAATCTCCGACCCCCAGGAACAGGTTTGCAGATTTGCTGAGCATTTCTGTGAGGTCCTGGGGGAGGGAGAATCCCTCAGCCAGGAAAACATCGTGGCACAAAGTGAGGATGACCCTGCTGAGGCTGCGGTGCCTCAAATATTGGAAGAAATCACCCCCTGTGAGTGGCTGGCTGAAGTACCATCTGTTGAGGAAGTACTGAAGGCGATCCGGAGTCTGAGACCAGGAAAGGCAGCGGGCAGAGATGATCTCCCAAGCGAAATGCTGAGGGAGGGTGGCGTTTGTGCACAGACTGCACTACATGACATCATAACAACAGTCTGGACCACTGGACGGGTTCCGCAGGATTGGAAGGATGCCCTGGTGGTCCCCTCTTTAAGAAGGGGGACCGCACAGACTGTAACAAAAACAGGGGCATCTCACTCCTCAGTGTGCCGGGAAAGGTTCTGGCAAGGATTATTCAACATCGCCTTGCCAGGCACGCTGAGGAGAGGCTTGCGGAGCCCCAATGCGGTTTCAGGAAAGGGCGGTCCTGCACAGATGCCATATTTTCTGTCTGCTACAGCAGAGGTGTAGGGAATTCCAACAAGACCTACATCTCTGCTTTATTGACCTGGTCAAGGCCTATGTTACCATCAGTAGGCCTGGGCTCTGGGTTGTTCTTCGTGCTTTTGGAGTCCCTGACCCTCTGCTCACGATCATTAAGGACCTTCATGATGGTGAGCGGGCCCGGGTAAAACTACGTGGCCGGGAGTCAGAGTCATTCCCTGTACACCTTGGGGTGCGACAGGGATGTCCTCTGGCTCCCACATTATTTAACATCTATTTTGCCCACGTAGTTCGTGAAACCTTCAATAGCTGTACCGGGGGAATCTCCATTTGGTACAGATATAATGGGAGGCTGATCGATGCCCGGGTGCAGTCAAGGGATGGCTCCCTATTGCTCAACCACGTTATGTATGCTGATGATTTGGTGATAGCTGCTCATTCAGAGGAGGAGTTGGAGACGGTGCTGCTGAGACTGGAGCGTGCCGCTAAGAGGTGGGGCCTTACCATCATCCCCACCAAAACTAAGCACCTGCCTGGGTATTTTGTACCATCGGACACTCCACCCCCTCAACTCCCAATCGGTGATGGGGCAGTTGTGGAGAGAGTGGAGAGTTTCCCATACCTGGGCAGTGTGCTTATGTCTGGCTCCAGTTTAACAGCAGAGGTCTCACTCCGAATCAGTCGAGCGGCAATAGCTTTTCATCGGTTGCGTAACGCTGTGTGGAAGCTACCTGGTCTGTCGCTCCGCACTAAGCTTCAGGTCTTCTCGGCCACGGTCATTCCCTTCCTTCTCTACGCTTGCGAAACGTGGACCCACCTAATGGAACATCTTCGCCGGTTAGAAACATTTAGGCTGGCCTGCCTACGATCCACCCTGGGTTTAACCAGACTGGATTGTGTGAGGAGCTCAAAAATCCTTGAAAGATCTAGGCAAGCTCCCATCGGTGAGCTCCTCCGGCGGGCAAGGCTGCGATGGCTGGGTCATGTAGCCCGCATGCCCAGCCACCGCATGCCGAAACAGCTTTTGTTTGGCCGGATCGAGGGGGCTAAGCGGGCGCGGTCCGGGCTAGAGAAGAGATGGAGTGAAGTGGTACAGGAGGACGTGGAGCTTAGTGGACTTGCCGATGACCGGTACCAGCGGTGTCAAGTTCGGCCTCTGAGGAGGAGGCTCGTGAAGGACGCTACTGGGCAGTTGGAGGAAGTTGCCCTCCAACAACAACGGAGGGCGGAGTAGCGACGCTCAGAACAACGAGCGGAGCTCCGGGTGGCTAAAGCATAGCAGGTTGGCACAGTAGGGGGCACAGGTGGTGCATCAGCCAGTCATCTCAGTCAGTCGACCCGTGGCAACTGGGTCTGCCCCGTGACCTCCTGCCAGCGGGCGTTCGACACTTCACGTGATGGCCTCAAGGTGCACATGGCCTGGCACAAGCGTCGTGGTGACGTCACCGCCAATTAGTGGAGAATGGCGGTTGTTGTTGTTGTTGTTGTACGTGTGTATGTATGTGTACCTGTATGTGTATGTGTGTGTATGTGTGTGTATGTATGTGTGTGTGTGCGTGTATGTATGTGTGTGTATGTTTGTGTGTGTGTGTATATGTGTATATACATACACATATATGGGGAGCGATAGTGTAGCGGTTAGCGCTACGCTGCGCTATGAACCTGGCGACCCGGGTTCGATTCCCGCTCATGGCCAACACCAGTGACGATAATCTGAACCGGTCCCGGGCCTCCCCTAGGTCGACTCAGCTTCAAATGAGTACCTGGTGCGGTGTGTAAACATTGCCACTAGGGAGACAAAAGCGGTCGGGCGTGGTGCTGGCCACCCACCCCCTCGTGTACCGTTCCGGCCTTCATAGGTGCTCGCTAACAGCACTTGCCCCTACAGTCTGTTAAGGCTATATAGGGGATCTTTGTCTTTGTCTTTGTATATGTGTATATATGTGTGTATGTATGTGTACATGTGTGTGCGTGTGTGCGTGTACGCGCGTGCACGTCCGCTCAGCCCCAACAACTACACCTGGATCTGCGCCACGGTCTCGGGCGAGCGTCTGGCGGCGACGTCCGTGGCGGTCCACCCCAAGTTCTCCGCGGCGAGCGGCGGCGCCCACGACGTCGCTATGCTGCGGCTGGGCCAGCCGGCCACGTTGGGGCCGGCGGCAGCCCAGGCGGTGTGCCTGCCCAGGCGACACGAGCAGAGCCCCACGCTGGGACGCAGCTGCCAGGCGCTGGGCTTGAGGCGCAGCGACGGTGGGTAGTGTATAGTGTATAGCTAGTAGGTTAGTGTATGTCATGTAATGTGTAGTGTATAGCTAGTAGGTTAGTGTACGTCATGTAGTGTATAGCTAGTACGTTAGTGTACGTCATGTAGTGTATAGCTAGTAGGTTAGTGTACGTCATGTAGTGTATAGCTAGTACGTTAGTGTATGTCATGTAATGTGTAGTGTATAGCTAGTAGGTTAGTGTACGTCATGTAGTGTGTAGTGTATAGCTAGTAGGTTAGTGTACGTCATGTAGTGTATAGCTAGTAGGTTAGTGTACGTCATGTAGTGTATAGTGTATAGCTAGTAGGTTAGTGTATGTCATGTAGTGTGTAGTGTATAGCTAGTAGGTTAGTGTACGTCATGTAGTGTATAGTGTATAGCTAGTAGGTTAGTGTACGTCATGTAGTGTATAGTGTATAGCTAGTAGGTTAGTGTACGTCATGTAGTGTATAGTGTATAGCTAGTAGGTTAGTGTACGTCATGTAGTGTATAGTGTATAGCTAGTAGGTTAGTGTACGTCATGTAGTGTATAGTGTATAGCTAGTAGGTTAGTGTACGTCATGTAGTGTATAGTGTATAGCTAGTAGGTTAGTGTACGTCATGTAGTGTATAGTGTATAGCTAGTAGGTTAGTGTACGTCATGTAGTGTATAGTGTATAGCTAGTAGGTTAGTGTACGTCATGTAGTCTATAGTGTATAGCTAGTAGGTTAGTGTACTTCATGTAGTGTGTAGTGTATAGCTAGTAGGTTAGTGTACGTCATGTAGTGTGTAGTGTATAGCTAGTAGGTTAGTGTACGTCATGTAGTGTATAGCTAGTAGGTTAGTGTACGTCATGTAGTGTATAGTGTATAGCTAGTAGGTTAGTGTACGTCATGTAGTGTATAGTGTGTAGCTAGTAGGTTAGTGTACGTCATGTAGTGTGTAGTGTACAGCTAGTACGTTAGTGTACGTCATGTAGTGTATAGTGTGTAGCTAGTACGTTAGTGTACGTCATGTAGTGTGTAGTGTATAGCTAGTACGTTAGTGTACGTCATGTAGTGTGTAGTGTATAGCTAGTACGTTAGTGTACGTCATGTAGTGTGTAGTGTATAGCTAGTACGTTAGTGTACGTCATGTAGTTTCTAGCTAGTACGTTAGTGTACGTCATGCAGTGTGTAGTGTATAGCTAGTACGTTAGTGTACGTCATGTAGTGTGTAGTGTATAGCTAGTACGTTAGTGTACGTCATGTAGTGTGTAGTGTATAGCTAGTAGGTTAGTGTACGTCATGTAGTGTATAGCTAGTACGTTAGTGTACGTCATGTAGTGTATAGTGTACAGCTAGTACGTTAGTGTACGTCATGTAGTGTGTAGTGTATAGCTAGTACGTTAGTGTACGTCATGTAGTGTGTAGTGTATAGCTAGTACGTTAGTGTACGTCATGTAGTGTGTAGTGTATAGCTAGTACGTTAGTGTACGTCATGTAGTTTATAGCTAGTACGTTAGTGTACGTCATGCAGTGTGTAGTGTATAGCTAGTACGTTAGTGTACGTCATGTAGTGTGTAGTGTATAGCTAGTACGTTAGTGTACGTCATGTAGTGTGTAGTGTATAGCTAGTAGGTTAGTGTACGTCATGTAGTGTGTAGTGTATAGCTAGTACGTTAGGGTACGTCATGCAGTGTATAGCTAGTACGTTAGTGTACGTCATGTAGTGTATAGTGTATAGCTAGTAGGTTAGTGTACGTCATGTAGTGTTTAGTGTATAGCTAGTACGTTAGTGTACGTCATGTAGTGTATAGTGTATAGCTAGTAGGTTAGTGTACGTCATGTAGTGTGTAGTGTATAGCTAGTAGGTTAGTGTACGTCATGTAGTGTATAGTGTATAGCTAGTACGTTAGTGTACGTCATGTAGTGTATAGTGTATAGCTAGTAGGTTAGTGTACGTCATGTAGTGTGTAGTGTATAGCTAGTACGTTAGTGTACGTCATGTAGTGTATAGTGTATAGCTAGTACGTTAGTGTACGTCATGTAGTGTATAGTGTATAGCTAGTAGGTTAGTGTACGTCATGTAGTGTGTGTGTATAGCTAGTACGTTAGTGTACGTCATGTAGTGTATAGTGTATAGCTAGTACGTTAGTGTACGTCATGTAGTGTGTAGTGTATAGCTAGTAGGTTAGTGTACGTCATGTAGTGTATAGTGTATAGCTAGTACGTTAGTGTACGTCATGTAGTGTGTAGTGTATAGCTAGTAGGTTAGTGTACGTCATGTAGTGTATAGTGTATAGCTAGTACGTTAGTGTACGTCATGTAGTGTGTAGTGTATAGCTAGTACGTTAGTGTACGTCATGTAGTGTATAGCTAGTACGTTAGTGTACGTCATGTAGTGTGAAGTGTATAGCTAGTACGTTAGTGTACGTCATGTAGTGTATAGCTAGTAGGTTAGTGTACGTCATGTAGTGTATAGCTAGTACGTTAGTGTACGTCATGCAGTGTGTAGTGTATAGCTAGTACGTTAGTGTACGTCATGTAGTGTGTAGTGTATAGCTAGTAGGTTAGTGTACGTCATGTAGTGTGTAGTGTATAGCTAGTAGGTTAGTGTACGTCATGTAGTGTATAGCTAGTAGGTTAGTGTACGTCATGTAGTGTGTAGTGTACAGCTAGTAGGTTAGTGTACGTCATGTAGTGTATAGTGTATAGCTAGTACGTTAGTGTACGTTATGTAGTGTATAGCTAGTACGTTAGTGTACGTCATGTAGTGTGTAGTGTACAGCTAGTAGGTTAGTGTACGTCATGTAGTGTGTAGTGTATAGCTAGTAGGTTAGTGTACGTCAGGTAGTGTATAGTGTATAGCTAGTAGGTTAGTGTACGTCATGTAGTGTATAGTGTATAGCTCGTACGTTAGTGTACGTCATGTAGTGTATAGTGTATAGCTAGTACGTTAGTGTACGTCATGTAGTGTATAGCTAGTAGGTTAGTGTACGTCATGTAGTGTGTAGTGTATAGCTAGTACGTTAGTGTACGTCATGTAGTGTGTAGTGTATAGCTAGTAGGTTAGTGTACGTCATGCAGTGTATAGTGTATAGCTAGTACGTTAGTGTACGTCATGTAGTGTATAGCGTACAGCTCGTACGTTAGTGTACGTCATGTAGTGTATAGCTAGTACATTAGTGTACGTCATGTAGTGTATAGTGTATAGCTAGTACGTTAGTGTACGTCATGTAGTGTGTAGTGTATAGCTAGTACGTTAGTGTACGTCATGTAGTGTGTAGTGTATAGCTAGTACATTAGTGTACGTCATGTAGTGTATAGTGTATAGCTAGTACGTTAGTGTACGTCATGTAGTGTGTAGTGTATAGCTAGTACGTTAGTGTACGTCATGTAGTGTATAGCTAGTACGTTAGTGTACATCATGTAGTGTGTAGTGTATAGCTAGTACGTTGGTGTACGTCATGTAGTGTATAGCTAGTATGTTAGTGTACGTCATGTAGTGTGTAGTGTATAGCTAGTACGTTAGTGTACGTCATGTAGTGTATAGTGTATAGCTCGTACGTTAGTGTACGTCATGTAGTGTATAGTGTATAGCTCGTACGTTGGTGTACGTCATGTAGTGTATAGCTAGTATGTTAGTGTACGTCATGTAGTGTATAGCTAGTATGTTAGTGTACGTCATGTAGTGTATAGCTAGTATGTTAGTGTACGTCATGTAGTGTGTAGTGTATAGCTAGTACGTTGGTGTACGTCATGTAGTGTATAGCTAGTATGTTAGTGTACGTCATGTAGTGTGTAGTGTATAGCTAGTACGTTAGTGTACGTCATGTAGTGTGTAGTGTATAGCTAGTACGTTAGTGTACGTCATGTAGTGTATAGTGTATAGGTCGAACGTTAGTGTACGTCATGTAGTGTATAGTGTACAGCTCGTACGTTAGTGTACGTCATGTAGTGTATAGTGTATAGCTCGTACGTTAGTGTACGTCATGTAGTTTATAGCTAGTACGTTAGTGTACGTTATGTAGTGTATAGTGTATAGCTAGTACGTTAGTGTACGTCATGTAGTGTGTAGTGTATAGCTAGTACGTTAGTGTACGTCATGTAGTTTATAGCTAGTACGTTAGGGTACGTCATGTAGTGTATAGTGTGTAGCTCGTACGTTAGTGTACGTCATGTAGTGTGTAGTGTATAGCTAGTACGTTAGTGTACGTCATGTAGTCTGTAGTGTATAGCTAGTACGTTAGTGTACGTCATGTAGTGTATAGTGTATAGCTAGTACGTTAGTGTACGTCATGTAGTGTATAGTGTATAGCTCGTACGTCAGTGTACGTCATGTAGTTTATAGCTAGTACGTTAGTGTACGTCATGTAGTGTATAGTGTATAGCTCCTACGTTAGTGTATGTCATGTAGTGTATAGTTTATAGCTCGTACGTTAGTGTACGTCATGTAGTGTATAGTGTATAGCTAGTACGTTAGTGTACGTCATGTAGTGTATAGTGTATAGCTAGTACGTTAGTGTACGTCATGTAGTGTATAGTGTGTAGCTCGTACGTTAGTGTACGTCATGTAGTGTGTAGTGTATAGCTAGTACGTTAGTGTACGTCATGTAGTGTATAGTGTATATCTAATGTACTGGAATACGTCATTTAGTGTACGTGCGTGACATTATCGGCGATAACATTAGCAACGATGCCGATGATGTCACGGCCAGTGCGCCTGTGACATCATCATCATCATCATCTACACCTGTGACATCATCGTCGTGTCTCCCCCCCCCCGCTAAACGCCCCACCCCCCAGGCTCTGTGTCGGCCCCCGCCGCTGAGGGCAACGTGCGCGTGGTGAACGAGTCGCTCTGCAGGCAGGCATGGGGCAACTTCACCCGCGGGATGATGATGTGTGCAGCCAAGCGTCAGGGTTGGGCCAGTAGCTGTCAGGTGACCCCAACACTACACCGTACACTACACTATACACTACACTATACACGACACTATACACTACACGTTACACTGCACGATACACGACACGATACACTACACTATACACTACACTATACACTATACACTACACTATACACTACACTATACACTACACTATACACGTCACTACTATACACTACACTATACACTACACTTTACACTACACTGCACACTACACTGTACACTACACCACACACTACAATATACACTATACTATACACTACATTATACACTACACGATACACTACACTATACACTACACTATACACTACACTATACATTTACTACACACTACCCTATACACTACACTACACACTACAATATACACTACACCACACACTACACTATACACTACACTATACACTACACTACACTATACACTACACTATACACTACACTATACACTACACGATAAACTACACTATACACTACACGATACACTACACTACTATACACTACACGATACACTACACGATACACTACACTATACACTACACTATACACTACACTACACACTACACTATACACTACACTATACACTACACTATACACTACACTATACACTACATTATACACTACACTAAACACTACACTATACACGACACTACTATACACTACACTATACACTACACTACACACTACACTATACACTACACTATACACTACACTATACACTATACACTACACTATACACTACACACTACAAAATACACTACACTATACACTACACGATACACGACACTATACATACATACAACAACCGCCATTCGCCACTAAGTGGCGGTGACGTCACCACGATGCTTGTGCCAGGCTATGTGCACCCTGAGGCCACGTGAAGTGTCGAACGCCCGCTGGCAGGAGGCCACGGGGCAGACCCAGGTGCCACGGGTCGACTGACTGAGATGACTGGCTGATGCACCACCTGTGCCCCCTACTGTGCCAACCTGCTGTGCTTTAGCCACGCGACACTCCGCTCGTTGTTGTGAGCGTCGCTCCTCCGCCCTCCGTTGTTGTTGGAGGGCGACTGCCTCCAACTGCCCAGTAGCAGCGTCCTTCACGAGCCTCCTCCACAGAGGCCGATCTTGACACCGCTGGTACCGGTCATCGGCAAGTCCACTCAGCTCCAAGTCCTCCTGTACCACGTCACTCCATCTCTTCTCTAGCCCGTGCCGCGCCCATTTAGCCCCCTCGATCCGGCCGAACAAAAGCTGTTTCGCCATGCGGTGGCTGGGCATGCGGGCTACATGACCCAGCCAACGCAGCCGTGCCTGCCGGAGGAGCTCACCGATGGGACCTTGCCCAGATCTTTCAAGGATTTGTGAGCTCCTCACACAATCCAGCCTGGTTAAACCCAGGATGGATCGTAGGCAGGCCAGCCTAAATGTTTCTAACCGGCAAAGATGTTCCATTAGGGGGGTCCACGTTTCACAAGCGTAGAGAAGGGAGGGAATGACCGTGGCTGAGAAGACCTGAAGCTTCGTGCGGAGCGACAGACCAGGCAGCTTCCACACAGCGTTACGCAACTGAAAAAAATATATTGTCGCTCGACTGATTCGGAGTGAGACCTCCGCTGCCAAACCGGAGCCGGTCATGAGCACACTGCCCAGTTATGGTAAACTCTCCACTCGCTCCACAACTGCCCCATCACCGATTGGGAGTTGTGGGGGCGGAGTGTCCGATCGTACAAAATACTCAGGCGGGTGCTTAGTTTTGGTGGGGCTGATGGTAAGGCCCCACCTCTTAGTGGCACACTCCAGTTTCAGCAGAAGTGTCTCCAACTCCTCCTCTGAATGAGCAGCAATTACCAAATCATCGGCATACATAACGTGGTTGAGCAATATGGAGCCATCCCTTGACCGCACCCGGGCATCAATCAGCCTTCCATTATATCTGTACCAAATGGAAATTCCCCCCGGTACAGCTATTAAAGGCTTCACGAACTACGTGCTCAAAATAGATGTTAAATAATGTGGGAGCCAGAGGACATCCCTGTCGCACCCCAAGGTGTACAGGAAATGGCTCTGTCTCCCGGCCACGTAGTATTAACCAGGGCCGCTCAGCATCATGAAGGTCCTTAATGATCGTGAGCAGAGGGTCAGGGACTGTGAAAGCACAAAGAACAACCCAGAGCCCAGGCCTACTGATGGTATCATAGGCCTTGCCCAGGTTAATAAAGCAGAGATGAAGGTCTTACTGGAATTCCCTACACCTCTGCTGTAGCAGACGGACAGAAAATATGGCGTCTGTGCAAGACCGCCTTTACCTGAAACCGCATTGGGGCTCTGCAAGCCTCTCCTCAGCGTGCCTAGCAAGGCGATGTTGAATAATCCTCGCCAGTATCTTTCCTGGCACACTGAGGAGTGAGATGCCCCTTAGTTGTTACAGTCTGTAAAGTCCCCCTTCTTAAAGAAGTGGACCACTAGGGCATCTTTTCAATCCTGCGGAACCCGTCCAGTGGTCCAGACTGTTGTTATGATGTCATGCAGGGCAGTCTGTGCACAAACGCCACCCTCCCTCAGCATTTCGCTTGCGAGATCATCTCTGCCCAGTGCCTTTCCTAGTCTCAGACTCTGGATCGCCTTCAGGACTTCCTCAAGTGATGGCACCTCAACCAGCCACTCACAGGGGGTGACTTCTTCCAATATTTGAGGCACCGCAGCCTCAGCAGGGTCATCCCCACTTTGTGCAACGATGTTTTCCTGGCTGAGCGATTTCCCCTCTCCCAGGACCTCACAGAAATGCTCAGCAAATCTGCCAACCTGTTCCTGGAGGTCAGAGATTGGATCTCCTTTTTTTCCCCTAATGATGGTAATAGGTGTGGCACTGCAGGTTACTTTTCTGATGGAGTTAAATAGGGATTTGTGGTCACGGGCCACTGAGGCAGACTCCATCTCCTCAGCAACCCGCGACCACCATCCATCCTTGCAGCGCCTCAAGGCTCTCCGAACCTCCGAGTGAAGGCTGCGGTAAGACTCCTCATTCTCTGACGTGGGATGCTGTAGACGATGAGAGTGGGCCTGTCGGTTTTTCTCAGCCAGCCTGAACAGCTCCTCTGTCAGCCAGGGTCTCCGGAGAGATCTGGACCGCGTACCCAAAGCAGCCATTGCAGCTGCATGAGTCACAGTCCTAAACCTTGCCCATTTACCCTCGCCATCAGGAGGAGTGTGGGACGATGCCAACCCCTGCCACAAGCGATGATGAAATTCTCGCTTCCAACTTTCATCAGCTAACTGAGACCAGGCCACCTTAGGTTAGAATGGGGTCCTGGGTGTATACCCACCACTGGAGTGGAAGAATTGCAGGCGCATCTTACAGATCACAAGTCGATGGTCAGAGGGCAGATCAGCTCTACGGTAGGTCCTGGTGTCAAGGACATGGGCCTGCATCCGTTGATCCGTCACTATGTAGTCCAGCAGATGTTCTTGCTTGGGCCCGGCATGCATCCATGATGTTGTGTGGATGCGCCGATGCCGGAACAGCGTGTTGGTAATTACAAGCCCATGGGCTGTACACAAATCTAGCAGCCTCCTACCGTTGTTATTGAGCTGATCTGGCCCATGCCTTCCAATCACTCCAGACCAGGTTCCAGCAACATGACCACCTCAAGCATTGAAGTCACCCAACAAGATGACTCTATCCTGAGGGGCCACTTTAGCCAGCACCTGTGACAGGAGGTCATAGAAGGCATCTGACTCATCGGCCTTGCCTGCATCCCTCCACTGATGTTCGTCTTCGGTGGGGGCATAAGTAACCACGACCACCACTCCTCGCCTCTGATTTATCGGAAGGCGAGCCCAAAGTAGCCTGGGGCTTACAGGTTCTCACGCCTCACCGCCACGCCCCCATGCCCCCTTCATTATTTTGTTCAGAAGAAGAGCCACACCCTGTTGTTTGGCAGTCTCCTGCCCCGTGTATAGGACTGTCCACACCTCACATGTACACACGCACATATACAGACACACACAAACATACAGACACACACACAAATGGACAATGGGTGTCTCAACCTGGATTCACGAAACATCATCAAAGTCAATCCACCGTCCGCCTTTCTGCCTTTCTCAGCTGGGCCAGGGCGGTGGCGTCTTCTGCCTGGGCACGGACAGGAGGTGGTACCTGACAGGCATCGACAGCCGCCGTGCCGACTGTGCAAACGCCACCCAGCCGGCCGCCTACGGGCGCGTGTGGAAATCCCTCGCCTGGATCGAGGGGAACCTCCCTTACTGACGACGGCGAAGCGCCTCTGGCTCTGCTCCCATCCAGATAGCCAGATAGCCGGATAGCCAGCCAGCCAGATATCCAGATAGCAAGTTAACCAGATAGCCAACTAGCCAGATAGCTAGCCAGCCAGATAGCCAGATAGCCAGCTCGACAGATAACCGGCTAGCCGGCCAGCCAGATATCCAGATAGCAAGTTAACCAGATAGCCAACTAGCCAGATAGCTAGCAAGCCAGATAGCCAGATAGCCATCCAGCCAGATATCCAGATATCAAGTTAACCAGATAGCCAACTAGCCAGATAGCTAGCCAGCCAGATAGCTAGAAAGCCAGCTAGCCAGATAATCAGCTAGCCAGCCAGCCAGATATGCAGATAGCAAGTTAACCAGATAGCTAACTATCCAAATAGCTAGCCAGCCAGATAGCCGGATAGCCAGCCAGCCAGATATCCATATAGCAAGTTGACCAGATAGCTAACTAGCCAGATAGCTAACCAGCCAGATAGCCGGATAGCCAGCCAGCCAGATATCCAGATAGAAAGTTAACCAGATAGCCAACTAGCCAGACAGCTAGCGAGCCAGATAGCCACATAGCCAGATAGCCAGCTCGCCAGCCAGCCAGATAGCTAGCTAGCCAGAGAGCTAGCCAGCCAGATAGCCAGCTAGCCAGATAACCAGCTAGCCAGCCAGACAGCTATCCAGATAGCAAGTTAACCAGATAACCAACTAGCCAAATAGCTAGCCAGCCAGATAGCCAGATAGCCAGCCAGCAAGACAGCCACATAACCAGTTAGCCAGCCAGCCAGATAACCACATAGCCAGTTAGCCAGCCAGTCAGATAGCCACATAGCCAGCTAGCTAGCCAGCTAACCAGCTAGCCAGGCAGACAGATAGCTAGCTAGACAGATAGCCAGCTAGATAGACAGCTAGCTAGATACCAAGCCAGCTAGACACCCAGCCAGCTAGATAGCCAGCCAGCTAGATAGCCAGCCAGCTAGATATCCAGCCAGCTAGCTGGTCAGATAGCCAGCCAGCTAGCCAGCTAGATAGCCAGCTAGCCAGCTAGATAGCCAGCCAGCTAGATAGCCAGCTAGCCAGCGAGATAGCCAGCCAGCTAGATAGCCAGCTATCCAGCTAGATAGCCAGCCAGCTAGATAGCCAGCTAGCCAGCTAGATAGCCAGCCAGCTAGATAGCCAGCTAGCCAGCTAGATAGCCAGCCAGCTAGATAGCCAGCCAGCTAGATAACCAGCTAGCTAGATAGCCAGCCAGCTAGATATCTAGCTAGCCAGCTAGATAGCCAGCTAGCCAGCTAAATAGCCAGCCAGGTAGATAGCCAGCTAGCCAGCCAGCTAGTCAGATAGCCAGCTAGATAGCCAGCTAGATAGCCAGCTAGATAGCCAGCTATCCAGCTAGATAGCCAGCCAGCTAGATAGCAAGCTAGCCAGCTAGATAGCCAGCCAGCTAGATAGCCAGCTAGCCAGCTAGATAGCCAGCCAGCTAGATAGCCAGCTAGCCAGCTAGATAGCCAGCCAGCTAGATAGCCAGCCAGCTAGATAGCCAGCAAGCCAGCTAGATAGCCAGCCAGCTAGATAGCCAGCCAGCTAGATAGCCAGCCAGCTAGATAGCCAGCCAGCTAGACAGCCAGCTAGCCAGCTAAATAGCCATCCAGCTAGATAGCCAGCTAGCCAGCTAGATAGCCAGCCAGCTAGATAGCCAGCTAGCCAGCCAGCTAGTCAGATAGCCAGCTAGATAGCCAGCTAGCCAGCTAGATAGTGAGATCGCTACAGGCCTACAGCTACCGCTATCGCTGTCGCTCTTGGGAGGAGAGAATGAAGTTACCATTTTACTATATTTTTTAAATAATATATTTACATATATATCATGTCAATATATTTTATGAATCTTCTTCTTTGCCTTTTAAGGGAAACGTATTGTGGCTCGAGTTAAACCTCCAATTTCCTTTCGATTTTTATATGCTTAGTTCTTTCGGTAAAGTCACGTTGAAGGGAAACAATAAAATAATAAAATATATATAAAACAATAAAAAAATTCTCACGACGTTTCGACCATCTTGGCTTTTGTGGCACGGACGATCGGTGACACTCACTGACGTCACGCACGAGCGGTGACACTCACTGACGTCACAGACGAGCTGTGACATTCAACGACGTCACGCACGAGCGGTGACACCCACTGACGTCACGCACGAGCAATGACACTCACTGACGTCACGCGCGAGCGGTGACACTCACTGACGTCACGCACGAGCGGTGACACTCACTGACGTCACGCACGAGCGGTGACACTCACCGACGTCACGCACGAGCGGTGACACTCACGTACGTCACTCGCGAGCGGTGACACTGACGTCACGCGCGAGCGGTGACACCGACGTCACGGACGAGCTGTGACACTCACTGACGTCACGGACGAGCGGTGACACTCACGGACGTCACTCAGTGTGGGGTGTTTTTTTCGCAGTGTAAATTTTGTGGTGATGCATACACAGACAAAGCTCCCCCAGGTAGCCTCTAGCAGGGCTGTCGGGGCAAGTGCTGCTAGTGGCGAGTAGCACCACCTATGATGCACACACAGACAAAGCTCCCCTAGGTAGCCTCTAATAGGGCTGAAGGGACAAGTTCTTTAGTGAGTAGCAGCACCTATGAAGGTTGGCAACTATGGCTACACATGAGGGGGTGGGTGGCCAGCACCACGCCTGGCCGCCTTTGTCTCCCTAGTGGCGATGTTTTACACACCGCACCAGGTATTCGTTTGAGGCCGAGTCGACCTAGGGGAGACCCAGGACCGGTGCAGATAATCGTCTCCGGTTTTGGCCGGGAGAAAGAATCGAACCCGGGTCAATGGGTTCGTAGCCCAGCGTAGCGATAACCACTACACCCACCACTCCCTACACACACACACACGTGCAGTTATACACACGTACACAATACACAGGTACACACACACACACGTACACAATACATAGGTACACACACACACACGTACAAAATACACAGGTACACACACACACGTACACAATACACAGGTACACACACGTACACAATACACAGGTACACACACACACACGTACACAATACACAGGTACACACACACGTACACAGTACACAGGCACACACACACACACGTACACAATACACAGGTACACACACACACGTACACAGTACACAGGTACACACACACGTACACAATACACAGGTACACACACAGTACACAATACACAGGTACATACTACACAGGTACACAATACACAGGCACACACCACACAGGTACACACACACATGTACACAATACACACACACAGTACACAATACACAGGCACACACACACAGTACACAATACACAGGTATACACATACACAGTACACAATACACACACACAGTACACAATACACAGGTCCACACAGAGTACACAATACACAGGTACACACACACACGTACAAAATACACAGGTACACACACGTACACAATACACAGGCACACACACACGTACACAATACACAGGTACACACACACACACACGTACACAATACACAGGCACACACACACGTACACAATACACAGATACACACACACGTACACAATACACAGGTACACACACACACGTACACAATACACAGGTACACACACACACGTACACAACACACAGGTACACACACACGTACACAATACACAGGTACACACACACAGTACACAATACACAGGTACACACACACACGTACACAAAACACAGGTACACACACACGTACACAATACACAGGTACACACACAGTACACAATACACAGGTACATACTACACAGGTACACAATACACAGGTACACACTACACAGGTACACACACACACACACATGTACACAATACACACACACAGTACACAATACACAGGCTCACACACACAGTACACAATACACAGGTATACAAATACACAGTACACAATACACACACACACAGTACACAATACACAGGTCCACACACAGTACACAATACACAGGTACACACACACACGTACACAATACACAGGTACACACACACGTTCACAATACACAGGTACACACACACGTACACAATACACAGGTACACACACACGTACACAGGTACACACACGTACACAATACACAGGTACACACACAGTACACAATACACAGGTACACACACCTATACAGGTACACACACACACGTACACAATACACAGGTACACACACAGTACACAACAACAACAACAACAACCGCCATTCGCCACTAAGTGGCGGTGACGTCACCACGACGCTTGTGCCAGGCTATGTGCACCCTGAGGCCACGTGAAGTGTCGAACGCCCGCTGGCAGGAGGTCACGGGGCAGACCCAGGTGCCACGGGTCGACTGACTGAGATGACTGGCTGATGCACCACCTGTGCCCCCTACTGTGCCAACCTGCTGTGCTTTAGCCACCCGGCGCTCCGCTCGCTGTTGTGAGCGTCGCTCCTCCGCCCTCCGTTGTTGTTGGAGGGCGACTGCCTCCAACTGCCCAGTAGCATCCTTCACGAGCCTCCTCCACAGAGGCCGATCTTGACACCGCTGGTACCAGTCATCGGCAAGTCCACTCAGCTCCACGTCCTCCTGTACCACATCACTCCATCTCTTCTCTAGCCCGTGCCGCGCCCGCTTAGCCCCCTCAATCCGGCCAAACAAAAGCTGTTTCGGCATGCGGTGGCTGGGCATGCGGGCTACATGACCCAGCCATCGCAGCCTTGCCTGCCGGAGGAGCTCACCGATGGGACCCTGCCCAGATCTTTCAAGGATTTGTGAGCTCCTCACACAATCCAGTCTGGTTAAACCCAGGATGGATCGTAGGCAGGTCAGCCTAAATGTTTCTAACCGGCGAAGATGTTCCATTAGGGGGGTCCACGTTTCGCAAGCGTAGAGAAGGGAGGGAATGACCGTGGCCGAGAAGACCTGAAGCTTAGTGCGGAGCGATAGACCAGGTAGCTTCCACACAGCGTTACGCAACCGATGAAAAGATATTGCCGCTCGACTGATTCGGAGTGAGACCTCTGCTGTTAAACTGGAGCCAGTCATAAGCACACTGCCCAGGTATGGGAAACTCTCCACTCTCTCCACAACTGCCCCATCACCGATTGGGAGTTGTGGGGGTGGAGTGTCCGATGGTACAAAATACCCAGGCAGGTGCTTAGTTTTGGTGGGGCTGATGGTAAGGCCCCACCTCTTAGTGGCACGCTCCAGTCTCAGCAGCAGCGTCTCCAACTCCTCCTCTGACTGAGCAGCTATTACCAAGTCATCAGCATACATAACGTGGTTGAGCAATAGGGAGCCATCCCTTGACCGCACCCGGGCATCGATTAGCCTCCCATTATATCTGTACCATATGGAGATTCCCCCGGTACAGCTATTGAAGGCTTCACGAACTACGTGGTCAAATAGATGTTAAATAATGTGGGAGCCAGAGGACATCCCTGTCGCACCCCAAGGTGTACAGGGAATGGCTCTGACTCCCGGCCACGTAGTTTTACCCGGGCCCGCTCACCATCATGAAGGTCCTTAATGATCGTGAGCAGAGGGTCAGGTACTCCAAAAGCACGAAGAACGACCCAGAGCCCAGGCCTACTGATGGTATCATAGGCCTTGACCAGGTCAATAAAGCAGAGATGTAGGTCTTGTTGGAATTCCCTACACCTCTGCTGTAGCAGACGGACAGAAAATATGGCATCTGTGCAGGACCGCCCTTTCCTGAAACCGCATTGGGGCTCCGCAAGCCTCTCCTCAGCGTGCCTGGCAAGGCGATGCTGAATAATCCTTGCCAGGACCTTTCCCGGCA